TGTTTTAATTGTTATGCAATCAAAATAGGTCAGCAAAGAAAAACATTTTGTATTTCAGAAAGACAGCAACACATATTGTAGTTTACCTGTAGATTGGTAAGTCTCAGAGTAGATGCCTTTACAGCAAAGCCAAACTAGTGAGCTCTCCTGCAGCAGTTATGCCTGCTCCACTGTTAAGAAATTATTTGTTTAACGGTTATTAAGAAATCAATATTTTCCTCATTCTTCAACAGCAACTATGAAATATAAGCAAAGTCTTATGGCAAAGCTTCTAGGCTAGTATAAATAACTGGAATTCCTCCAGAAGCAAGAGAATTAATGCCGGCTGACAGTCTGCCCCTATAGTTACACCACCTGGATGCTGAGCCATGTGATAAAGCTCTGTGTGTGTTTTTTGAGATTTGTCACAATTATGCAATTTAATCATTTTTAAGTTTAAAACTTGGGTATCACTAAAGAGGTTTTAGCTTTTCTCTCTCTGCAATTTCTTTGGTAATAATCAGGCAAGTATATCTGGATTCTGTTAAGAATACAATCCTCCTGTTTCCTACAAGGTTTTTGCATTTTGGTTCCAGCCCTGCTGACTGGCATGGTGCTGACCTCAGAAAAGGGAGGGAAGTTCTGCTTTTTGTAGTACTTCTCACTCGTCAAGGGGATGCTGCTGTTGTGTCATGATTAAAAAATGCTGGCTTTGCTTTTGTTGCTCAATATTGCAAAATGATTCATGACATTTCTTCTGTGTGTTTTATGAGAAATCTGTTTTTGTCTTGGCGTGTGCTTTTAATTAGAAAAAGGTCTTCTATGTAAAAAGCTTAGTTAAGATTATATTTTCCTAATGCATTGGTTTGTTCAAGGAAATCTCAAAAAAGGATTAGACTTGAGGTTTGAGTTTATCAAGCAGGCCTCTGTCTGGATTAGATTATAATTGTCTTCCATTCAGTTACTCAAATATTTTCCTGATCACTCATCTGGAATATTACGTTTTCTCTTCCTCCGTTTGTGGCTGGAACTCTAATTTTTACTTCCAATAAAAAAGCTTGTGGCTTTCATTTAGCTGCCTTACAATAAATGAACAGCAGACAGACATAGAGGCATTTCCAGTTAAATAACTAGGAAATCCGTCAGTATCACCTAAATGCATGTATGGATGTAAGTACGCATAACCGTCAGAGCACAGTGTTGTAATTAACAACACTTAATAACTACATCTTAATTCCTGGAAGACAGCAGCTTAATAACTGGAATTAGCCTCACAGTGGTTCCTGTTAGAAGTTTTCAGTGCTGTTTTATTAACATCAGGGCTGTTGAAGTCCTGCAAATGGTGTAGGGCAGCACAGGAAGCCCTCAGTGAGCTCCTGTGGTCAGTCTATGCATATAATCCATGAATGGTGCCCAAACCACTGGGAAATGCTAATAACTCTGTCTGAAGGGTCATTGCGAAGGAAACCTTTTCATCAGTCACTTGCACTCAGGCTCTGGTATGTGAACAATGAAAGAAGCAGAACAGAAATTCAGGAAGAAATATCTAATGACAAAAATTTTGCTTGATCTAAAAAGTAACATAGTCCTTTAGATCTCCATTTCTGACTTTTAGGAATCTGGCTCTAAAAAAGAGATTCCTCATTGGGTCATTTCTGTGTAGGACCTAGACTTGCCTATCTCACAATAGGTAGTATGTCAATACCTTTAAGTTTTCCATATAGGAATGGAAGGGAGAAGCGTGTAACTGAAATCCAGAACTCAGTTAATTTTCCATAGGTCTGAAGCGGTGAAAATATCTCTGTGTTGGCCACTGATGGGGCAGTGTAACCATGCTCAGACAGAGCAAGGGGCCCATCAGGCTAGAGGTTTCCCTTCATTATCTGTGGCCTTCACTGTGTCTTTTCTCCTTTCCTTCTAGCCTGTTGTCATCTTTTGCAGCTAGATTATATCTACCAATAAACGTAAGGAGGCAGGAGGAAATGATAAATTATACAGGGAGTGAATATCCTGTTTGTCTTAGGAACAAAACAGGTCTTAGTGGAATTACCTAAGTATGATAGAAAATTTCCAGGATTTTAATCCTTAATGGAGAGTAGAGCCAGACAGTTCATTCTTCCAGCTTAAGTGATTTAGTTATTTCGGTTTTTATCTGATGAGTTTTGTACCGAGTTCATTATCAGTGTAGCTTAGGCCTGATTAGAGCCTTGCTATCAGATTATATCTCTGAAATATATATATATTAGGCAGGCATATATACCCCCTGCCTAATTTAGGACCGACCTTCCATCAGGTTTAGATGAGAAAGGGGTACCAAGATGCAAGGGTCTGCTCAGGCAGCTGCAGTTGTGAGCATGCACAGACGCAGAGCTGGAAGAAATTTACTGGTAAAAACATTAGGAAACCAATCAATAAGCAACATTTTTTTTTCCTAAGCTGCAACTTGCTCTGGTATCATATACTGTATCTTCTTTTTGCATCCTTTTGCAACAGGTTGTGGGGTGTACAGCCACTTCAGTTGAGCAAAACTGAACTGCTTTTTTCTTCTCTGTGTCATAAGGGATGATATGAGATAATAAGAGATACAAAATGAATTGCTGCTGTGTCCGGGAGGCATGTTCAAGACCTTTGTCATTGTTCTTTGTTAATGAGTCAGTATTGCTGGAAATGGGGAGATCGTTATCATTTACATCAACAGAGGCTGGATCGAGCTTTGGTGCACAATTCACCTGACACTTTTGCAATCCAGGGCAACTGCAGTTTATCTGAAGTTGCAAAGATTTCAAAGAACTTAATCTAAAAGAACTTACAACAGACTTCATCTATGATATTCTCTGGATTTCTGTATTTTCATAAATGTTACATTTCCCCAATAAAAATCTTCATTTCTCTTTCCCTCTCTACTTACCCTTCTTCCTCAGTGTATTTTGATTTACAGCCACTAGCATTCCAAGTATGTTTTTCTGGATCTGTCCAAAGCTTTCTCATAAATATATCCATGAAATAAAGCAATAGTATAAAAATTACATACCCTGGACAAATCAGTTGCATCAGATGCAGCAAATAAAATAATTGATGAAAAAAAATCTGGAAATGCAGGAAGATTTTTCCTATGCTTGTAATGCTTAATGGGTGAGGAATAATATGCGCTTCAGGTCTCTTGTGACTTTCAGTTATGCCTTACAGAACACTTTTAAATATACATACCTTCTATCCCAGGTAATCTTCCAAAGTCAGTTTGCTCAGAACAAAGCCATAGTTAAGTAGATAGACTGTTTTCTGAACATGTTAAAAAAAAGGTGATTATTCCCTGTTGGAGTCATGTGCATTGTATATGTGGCTTTGGTGTTTCACTTGATTGTTTAAAGCTAGTTTACCATGAAATATCAACAAAATTACTATTTTGGTCCAACTATTTCTTTTTTTTGACATAAGCGACTCTTAGCAAGTCTGCCCCATTTATGCTGCTCTTTGGTAAAACTACGCTTGGGAGACTCTGGAGTGCTAGAATTAAAAGCTATCAAAATTTTTTATATAAAAGCAACTGTATAGCATTTAATTTTTTACAGCTTATAATGATACTCACATATGTTGCTTAATTGTTTTGATTTGCTATTTTGGAAACCTTTATTTTAAATAGAGTTGTCTCTATAAATAGACTCAGCAGGCAGTGATTTCATTGGGCCCTCAGTAAACTAGAAAAATATCTGCCTGTTCTTTGCTGTGCTCAGAAAAGGCTCTAGAGATTTTGTTGGCTCAGACAAAATGAGAAAATGTGCTTCTTTCACAACCTGAAGTAACCCACTTAATAAAGCAATCAATGTGTAATTCACTTGTAATCCTGTCTCCTCCCATTCTTGCTTTGTTCCAGCCTGTATCTAATTTTTCAACAGGATCTAAATACTAATTTGTTTTCTTTAGCTGTGTTTAATATGGTCTCAAAGCTGCAGGTCTGGATGTTATCCTGGTGCCTGCATATGAATTGCTTGTGAGATAGAGCTGAATTTCCTGTTGCTTGTGCTGAAATTGCTGAGAATGTGACTTGGGGTTTCACAAAGGCAGCTGAGTGCAAAAAACCTTGTAGTATGTAGTAACAGGATACCATCACCCAAAGCTTATTCCAAATTAAAAAGAGTAAAGTTGTCATTCTGGTAACTTACTGTTCAGATGAGCTGAGTAATAGTTTTTTACATTTTGTTTGTTTTTTTTTAAATAGACAAGTTAAGAAGGAGCTATCCTTTTTATTTGGTTTGTCATTTATTGAAAGAGTATTTGTTTCTCGAATAAACAGTTTATTTCTTTATTTATTTTAATGTGATTTCTTGAACTTTGAGTAAAAAGGAAGTATGGGAAGTAAAAATTTTCTGACCATAAGGGGAGTGGATCACTGCTGGCTTTTTTTAAAAAAGGCTACATAAAAGAAAGCTTTGAGTGTTCAGAACTATTTTAATGTATTCAGTGTTCTTTACAGACTGAAAGTGATGAGTAAGCCAAGGCACAAGTGCAGATTTCTAAGAATGCCTGATACAAGATGACGTTGTTAACCCTGAACTGCCAGAAAGTCTAAGAGCAGGTGCCTTTTGGGAATCTGGCTACAATAGCCATAGGGGGGGAAAAATAAAATAAAGAAAAAGAATTCTATGTTTTAAAAGTATCCCTTTTATGAGTAAATTGTTGAGATAAAAGAGAAGGGTGAAAACTTAAAGAATGAACTTGAAACTGTTCCTAATAGGAAAATGCTATGTAGGTTTAATGAATATTTTTATTTAATTTTTAATTATTAATTTAATAATTTTCTATGACTGGCATTATTGCAGCAATCAAGGAACTGAATATCCTTCACTACAATTGAGTTTAATCCCTGCGATGGCTAAATATGTAAACATGCAATCTGATTGAGTTCTAATACTAGTGAGCAACCAGCTCAAGGGCTTAAGAAGTACCTCTATTCATCACAGACTTATCTTTTATGTGATAGGGGCTGTGTTGCTAATCAGATGTGCTGTGTTTCTGTTTTTCAGATTTACCACTGGATTACAGATTTACACGATTTTCCTCAAATAACTCAGCAACTGCTGGTTACTACCCAAGCCCTCCAAGAGTACTGCTGCCTGCTGAGGAGTCAGTGTCTGTGAAATAGGTTGTCTGCCTTTCCTTAAGCAACCTTGTGGTCCTTACTTAACTACTTAACTACTTAACTAATGTTAGTTGGTGGAAATGCTGTGTGATGCTTCATAACATAGAATGTGATGCTTCATAAAATAGAATGATAGTTTAAAAGCAGCCTCCTGTGTAGCTTTGTGTTTCACTTGTTTCTGTAGTCCAGCTGGAACAGGTGAGCAACACATACTTCTCTGTAAATCTTTTCACCACCACTACCTGTTACAAAGTGTTATTGGCTTTTCCATGCACTGCCTAAATGCTGTAAGACAAGTGTACTAATAATACCTCATCCCAAGTTACACTTAAATTTATGCTTTTCAAGGACATTCTCTCTATTTAAGGTGATCCTGCTGCTACTGTAAGCCCTGGGAAAGACCTGAAACTAGACCCTGAGCCACATCCCATTAAGAGTTATCTTGGACAGCCCAGGTGATCGTAGTAGTTGGGTGTTTTGCAAGCTCTAAGGAAGTTATTCTCCCCGTATCTAAACAAAGAAGAGAAGTACAATAACTGTTCTTGGAGATACAGAAAGACTGTGACCCGAACTGATCTTTTGGTAACAAAAAGATGCTTCGTATTCAAAAAGAGACTTGAGTGGAATTTAGGCAGCTAATGCAGAATTAGAGTCCTCAAAACCTTTGTTGAATGCTTCCTATTCCTGAATGTGCCTAACCACTATTACAGCAAGGTTCCCTACATGTCTTTCCTCTCATAGTCTTCAATACCTCAAGAGTCAGAGCTCTTTTACAGGACAAGGGAAACCTGTGTACAGTGTCCTCTACAGCTCAAGGGGATTCAGATCCACATTTTCTACCTCCCTGGCAAATCCTTTTAAGGGTTGGAAGGATATAGCACCAAGCTATATACATCCATCATTGCTAAGTACAACCTAAGCCCAGAAGAGGAGCAAGATTCAAGACATAAACTGTTTTTACTTTTTTTCTTACTGGCTAAGTTAAGGAAATTCATATTCTGTTTTCCAAGGATTCAGTCTAAAGACCTGATTCTCCAGAGCTTTGCATAGGGAACCTTAGGTAACTAACTCAGGGTAGCTGATTCAAAAAATGTCTAAGATATTCACTCAGTTATCAGTTTTGTCTAGGCACACTAGAACGGCAGAATTGGTGATAAATTTCCTTCAAAGTTAAGGGAACAATACACAGAAACATTCTTCTCTCAATTCTTGTTTTAAAGAAAAATTCATATTAAGAATAAAGACGGAAAATCCTCTAAAGAAAGTCCTTGGTTCTTGAAGTTCCAGTGGAGAAGCAGTATTTATTTAATACAGTGATAGATTTTAAAGACACTCTTAACATGAGAAGCTTACCAGAAGAGATACGTATATGGACTTGATTAAATGTGAGGGTAGTACTTGTCTCTGCTGAAGGGTGTCACTAGCCGTTTGCACTTGCTGCCAGAAGGATCACACAGTAGCAGAGAAAGAAGTTAAAAATAAAATCACACTGTAATCATGATTTCATATATCACTACAGTCTGTGGTTATAGGAAGAGTTAGGAAAATTACTTGAAGCATTTGCTAAAAAACAGAATTCCTGCGAGATCAGTACTGCCTCCCTAAGTTTGAAGGGCAGAGAAGAGAATAAGGTTGGAAAAAACTGAAATATTTCAGTTTTGCATTTTCAAACTTGACTTTTAGTTTTAACTTTTATCTTTAGCTAAAAGGATAAAACATAAATTAAAAGAAAAAAAATAAAGTTTATGCAGGTGGCTGAAAGATCCTCACAATGAAATAGAAAGTTTATTTCAGGTAGAAAGAAAGGGTTTCATAAACTTAAACATTTTTTTTCTGATATTTTCAAAAAGAGTTGTTGTCTGAGTATTTTTTGATTCAACCACCAGATTGAAAAGTTCATATGTGTTCAGCAGTAGTGATGGTGAGAGGCCTGACTGCCATTTAAGGTTGAATTTGTGGCTGCAAAAGCAGAGTTTGACAGTGGAAAGACTTTAGGAGGGCAGCTGGTGCTCTGGTGACTGGAGAGCTGCTGGAAATGGAAATGGAGGTGGTAGGTGGCATGGATACCAGGGAGAAGAAAGGCACATGACAGAGAACTGGTAGAAAGCTGGCCATATTGAACATGATATAGTAAGGATTCTCTTCTTCTTTATTTTTTTTTGTTTTTTGAATTCTTGAAAATCTGTCAAATTCCTTGGAATCTGTTGTGAGAGTCTATCGACAGAAAGATCACTAAAGTGTCTGCAAAACGCATTTTGGGTGTCGGCAGGGAGACGTAAGTGTGGCAAGTTGTAATGATTCGTTAAAAACATTGTATCTGGCTATATAGCCCTGAAAATCATAGCTTTACTTAAAAGAAGAAAATAATACCAAGTCTCTTTTGGCATCTATTCTAGTATGAAACATATCTGTTGAATTTTAAAATAAAGAGAATTTATTTCTGAAAAAAATGTTCTTGGAAGTTCCATTACTTTATAGCCAAGTAGCAAAAAGAAAAAAGGAAGATTAAATCACAACAAATCAGTGCAAGGACAGGTTAAGGCTACAGCATCGAAGAAAGCAAAACTTGAGCCACTCAGAATGAACAGATGTGTAATCCAACCAGAACCGCCTACCTTTTATACCTATAGAAAAGTCAGCTTTGATGCTAAGCAGAGCTTACTCATAACTGCTTCCTGAACAGGACTTGTTTCTGCAAGCTAAAGGCTTCCTAATCCCCAGTGAGTAAAAGCATAAATAAACAAATGCAGATAGGTTATCCGTGGTAGATACAGGGCACACACGGCTTTCTGAGGCTACTGGGAGCTCTTTAGCTCATTTGAATCCCCCCGTTGTCCAGAGGTCAACATATGTGATAAGGCAGCATCTCTGAAAGGATTTCTAAGGCAATTTCTAGGAAAGCCAAAAGCTCAGGTACAGGTGCGAGCTGTGCAGTTGCCCCGCAGGCACAGCCCAGTCCTGGAACTGGGCGAGGAGTTGCAGAGTTTCACAGTATTGTGAAACTCCTTTACTCCTTTAGATGAGAGAAAAAATTAAATTACCATAAAAGGCAGCATCTGAACTTCAAGAAGGCCAATGGTCTGCTGGGGTGCATTAGGAAGAGTGTTGCCAGCAGGTCCAGGGAGGTGATCCTCCCCCTCTACTCAGCCCGGAGGAGGCCACATCTCGAGTACTGCGGGTACAGTTCTGGGCTCCCCAGTCCAAGAGAGACACGACACTACTGGAGAGAGTCCAGCGGAGGGCTACCAAGATGAGGAGGGGAGTGGAGCATCTCTCCTCTGAAGAAAGGCTGACAGAGCTGGGCCTGTTCAGCCTGGAGAAGAGAAGACTGAGAGGGGATCTCATCAATGTCTACAAGTATCTGAAGGGAGGGTGTCGAGAGGGTGGGGCCAGACTCTTCTCTGTGGTGCCCAGTGACAGGACAAGAGGCAACGGGCACAAACTGACCTGAAACACAGGCAGCTCCACCTGAACCTGAGGAAAAACTTCTTTGCTGTGAGGGAGACAGAGCCCTGGCAGAGGTTGCCCAGAGAGGTAGCGGAGTCTCCTTCCCTGGAGATATTCAAAACCTGCCTGGACGCGATCCTATGCAATGTGCTCTAGAGGACCCTGCTTGAGCAGGGCGGTTGGACTGGATGATCTCCAGAGGTCCCTTCCAACCTTGGCCGTTCTGTAATTCTGTGATTCCATAACTTAATAGTTAACTTTAGTAAGCTAAGATAACTGTGGTGAAGATAGGCACGAGCAGCCACCAATCCAAAAGCTGATTTAAACCAGCATAAGTAGCAACTAGCTGTTGTCCAGCATGGTGTGACTGACCTAATCTACCTAGGGACCAAGCATACACAGTGGCATAAGACAAAAAGGGGGTTTCTTATATGGATAAGTGATGGGCAAGTCTTTTGGGATGCCAAAGGGTGCCAGGACCCTCCGTGAGGTTACTGGGCTGGCCATCTAGTGCCTTAGGACTTAAGAGAATTTGTGCATAACCACTGATCTAACCCTTGCCCTTCAATGGCTCTTAATGCTCTAAATATTATCTATCTGAGATCAAATAAATAGCCTTTAGCACTGCCAATGTTGCCTAGAGTGATTTGTTATCACAGCAGTTGACTGCAACGGTTGGAAACAGTATGAGCACCGCTTGCAATGCCCTTGTAAGTTATGTTTTTGCCAGCTGTTGTACAGGTTGTAGGCTTTTTAACGATCTTTTCGACTGATATTTTAGAAACTGAGGAAATGTGACATACATCATTGGCAAGTTGGAGATTAGTTATTTTGTAAAATAAGAAGCAGGGAATCATCTACTGCATCCAGTACACAAGACTTGCCTTTACTAAAGAGAAAGGAAACGTGAATCCTGTGCTAGCCCCAAGTCTGTGGTCCCAGCACGGCCTGGATCAGATTTGGCCACAGCCAGGTTAAAACACGTTCTTGTGTCATCACAGAGGATAAAAATGCAGCAAGTGTAAAATACACTTTTGTATACAAGGTCAATGTTTTACAGCTGTTCAATGTTGTAGAGAAAATATAATTTAGAAATAAAGAAGTCACTTCTGTGCAAAGAGGTAAAGGTTTCACACAGTACCACATGACAGCTAAGGATCTGATACGAAGATGTTGCTTCCCTAGGGAACTTATATACAAGATGTCTTGGACTTCCTTGGCAAGGGAATACAGCTTGGGAAAGATGGCTCCTGGAAGGAGCAGGACAAATTCTTCTGTAAAATTAAAATAGCTGTTTTCACTTGGTATTTTTAAGTGAATGACTTTTAAAACAAAATATTCCTCTTGCTGTACATATACTTGGAGGCAGATTCTTCTGAAGTATAGAATCAGATTTAGGAGAGGAAGCACTCAGTTAAGCTACGTGGACCTTATCTCTGCAGAGAGGGCCAGATATATCGGGGAAGCCACAAACATCTATTGCCAAGAACCACAAAACAGCCATCCCTTTCAGCGGCACTTAGCTGATCTAGAAAACCCAGGGGAAAGGCTCAATCCCATTATCAGTCCAGTTGCCTGTAATTTTGTTTTTTGCAATTATGAGTAAGTGGAACATCAACCTCCCCCACAATGAGTCACAAGAGAGGGAAAAAAAAAGTAAAAAATTGAGGTTTTATTCTGAATGCTTTTCGTGCATGAAACAAATCTTGCTTTTCCATAGCCATTAGAAGTAGAAATGCTTACTTAAAAACAGAGCATGGATTAGGGCCAAAATAAGATGGAATTCTGGAAGTTAGACAGACTAGGGGATTTTCAGCTTGAAAAATTTGCAAATATCTTTACAGGGAAGATTGGGGATTTCTCTGTAGAGGTCAAGGGACTAAGGAAAGCATTGGGGCCAGCATGACTGATCATTTTCTTGAATATAAGACTAAGATCTAAGGAAATCTTTTCGGGATAAGGTGGGTACCCATAGCATTTTTCTGACATGCATTGCAAGACCATAGAGGTTTTGAAGCTGACCAGATGTCATGGTTCACAAATGGGCTAACATCTGAAGCGTTGCATCTAACTTTCTGCCCACGCTGTAGCTAAACTAATTTTGTCAGAGCTGTGCTAAAGATCCCTCTTGCTTCCCACTCAAGCTGCCAGAGCGCGTTCGTGGTTGTCTCTCAGTTATAACGACTTTTAAATACCTGCCCTGGGGTGAGAAACCATCACAGCCACTTCAAAAGTGT